AAATTTCCAGGATAGATTAAATGAAGTTCAAAAAATGATTAACTTATGGAAACTCAGAGGTCTCTCCCTATTTGGCAAAGTAACAATAATTAAATCTTTCCTGATCCCAAAATTATTATATTTTTCTTCAATAATAGAAACCCCACCCGAAATTATTAAACAGATGGAGAAAATGATCTATAAATTTTTATGGAAAGGCCTTGATAAAGTCACAAGGCTTTCTGCGATAAATACTTTAGAGAATGGTGGACTGAATCTCACAGACCTTGAGCTACATATTAAAGCATTAAGATTGTCCTGGATTCCGCGTCTCTTAGATGAGAAGGAAGGGCCCTGGATTTCTTATCTCAAATACAACTTAAAAAAATAGGGAGGATGTTTCCTTTTTAGATGTAACTATGATGTAAATGATCTTGACTTAAGTCTTAGTAAGTTTTACTTACAGCTTCTTAGATGGTGGGCGGATTTTAGATGCTCCTTTTCTGATGTGAATTGTTCTCAAAATGTAATTTGGAATAATAAGGATGTACGAATAAATAATAAACCTGTTTTTTATCAAACATACTTTGACAAGGGCATAACTTATTTGAATGATTTACAGTTCGATGTTGACAATGTGCGTTCTTGTGAATCCTTTAAGCAAAAAGGACTTAACACTAATTTTCTGACTTGGACAGCCTTGAGATCTTCTATTATTAATATGAAATCAAAAAGCTCCTGCTCCATCCCCACAGCGGGTAATCTCGATCCTATGAATTTTGATTATAAGTCTAAATTTTTTAATGCATATACGGCAAAGTGTAAACAGTTTTATTCTACGATGATATCAAGTAAAGCGAGAATCCCGAATGGCTTTAAAACGTTGACAGCGGATTTTTAGCTTTCAAATGCGCAGGAAGTTTTCTCTATTCCTTATCTTGTTGCGAGCAAAACGTATGTTTGGTCGTTTCAATACAGAGTATTGAATTTCATTTTGTTTACGAACGATAAATTGTTCAAAATAGGTTTAGGTGATTCGGACAAGTGTTCTTTTTGTGGAACCTATACGGAAGATCTGTACCACCTCTTCTTTAACTGCTCCTTTGTGCAAGCTTTTTGGAACGTATTTACAGTCTGGTGGTTTGATCTTAGTGGCGAATATTTAACTTTATCTTTAAAAGATATTATGGTTGGCTTACTTCAGAGGAACGATTTGTTAAATTAATTGATAATTTTAGGGAAATTAACTATTTGGGAATGTAGAAAAAGAAACACCTCTCCAATATTTAGATTGTTTTTGCACAAGGTTGAACTTAAAAAACAAGTTGAAAAAATAATTGCTATAAGAAACAGAAAGCTTCGCGATTTTCAAATTAGATGGGAGTTTCTCATATAATTTTGTGTTTGCCCTTTTTTTAAGGAAAAGAATGGAAGACCAATGCATAAACTTAGATCTCATATTCTTCCTTGTTTATTAGTTTATTGTATTTTATTTTTGCTAGAGAATTAACTGGGCGTCGCCATCGCCGGTATGTGTCACTGTGCAATGTTAAAAGAAAATAGTACTTTTTGTATGTAATAGTATAATTAGTCGATTGTGTTGTTAATAGAGCTGGATACTGTAAGTAGTGTAATTATTAGTGACTGTAAGTAGAGTAATGTAAATAAGCATTGTAATTAGTGTAAGTGGTGTTTCATATTGTATTGTAAGTATTGTGTTTGTAATTAAAAAAAATAATAATAAAATAAAAATAAAAAAAAAAGAACAAAAAAAAAAAAACTTCCTGGCCTAAGGATAAGCTTGCAACATCTGTTAACTTCAAATGGAAATTTCCCGTGGAAAAGGTGTGAACTTTTGCCATGGGACATTAAACGAAAGTTCCGACCGAATCCATTCAAACTTAGCGAATAAAAGATACTACATTTTAAAGTATGAATTTTGGAAAAGATCAACAATGTCTCTTAAATGTAGGTGGTGCGGAGAATGCAGAAACCCGTCGCACCGAGGTTTTACAGGGGCAGAGACTGTCTCGATCTGTTCCGCGTGGTTTGCCAACGAGAGACGTCCGGCAGTTAAAATACAAATCAACAAAGGCAAATTATAAAATAATTCAAATAGTACGCGCGCTCTGATTGGCCATAAAACCATTTTACATGAGCGTATGTAGACGGTTTTCGTTCCTCTTTCATTAGTTATTTTATAAAAGAAATGTAAAATGGTTTCCGTGTTTACATAGCCTGATGTAAACACTTGGGAGGTTGGGAGAACACTTGATAAGGAGATCCTCGCAGCTAAGAACACTACTGAAACGAGTAGTTGTAAATAGGACCTGTAAAAAATTTCAGGCCCGTACGGGATTTGAACCCATGACCTCTGCGATACCGGTGCACTTGATAAGCTCTTAACCACGACTCAAATGGTTCAGTGAGCATCACATTTTGCCGTGGAGTTAAAAGAAGGGACAACAGTTGACATATTGACTGGTACAAACAAGGGTCGAGTGGCCATCTGTTTTGAAAGTTTGTGGTGAGTAAACATTGCGATATTCGTTACGTGATCAAAATCTTATAAAAGAATAGATGTAACGGGTTGAATTAAGCTTACATAACGCTCGGTGCCACTGAAACTAGAATAATTCTGAGAATAATTCTGAGAATCGAATCGGTCACTTGCATGCCGCAGTTTCTTAAGCTTATGCTTTACAATGAAATAAATCTATCAGTAAGGTTTCAAGATTCCTTTAGTCACGTTTGGGAATATTCAAGATTCATAATAGGAACTGTTATTAAACAAAACTTATTACATAAAGAAGCCCTCCTTGGTAAAAATTAAATATTCAGCCCTTTTTTAGTAAAATGTATGGGAGAGATGTACTAACTCCAATATAAAAGTCACTGAATATAACAGAGATTTCTTAATTTGAGAATCCAATGAATGCCCTTTTCCTTATGGCCATCTTAAAGGCCTGGTCTGAGCTTTAAATATATATATTTATGTATATATAAATTTTTTTTCAAATTCAGATGTCATGGAATCCAAGTACAAAATGGTCAAGCTTCTTGTAGACAACCTCATTCAAGGCCAACTCATTGTGAGCCCAGGGGAAAAAATACAAACAGCAGCTAAGTTTGCAGTTTAGGATAACTTCATTCTAATTTATTGTTACAGTTACAACAAGATTTTAATTAAAAAATCAATTTTATTTATCTGTAATTAACCCCTTCACTCCCAAGAGTGCTTGGTTTTCAAATATAATTTAAGAAATTGTATTTTATGGAAAAGAATCAACAGATTTTATTCACAATTTGTGTCAAACCAAATTTAATGATTTATTAGGACTATTTTATATGAATAGCTGTAGTTGAGGATTAATCCGTACGAAGTTTTCAAGAAAAGAAAAATAAATCAAATTCCATCCTAATATTACCACATGTTGATGTTGATTAATCAAAAATATTTTACATGTAAGCCTTAATTAAGCTTGTAAATAAATTTCATTGAATACTTGAATTTTATTAGGACTATTTTATATGAATAGCTGTAGTTGAGGATTAATCCGTATGAAGTTTTCAAGAAAAGAAAAATAAATCAAATTCCATCCTAATATTACCACATGTTGATGTTGATGTTGATTAATCAAAAATATTTTACATGTAAGCCTTAATTAAGCTTGTAAATAAATTTCATTGAATAATTGAATTTTAGCTGGGTTTTTTTAATTTAAAGTATTTATTTTATATCATTAGCCTCAAATTTTTGCTTAAAATTCCCAGTAATTCTTAAACATTCCTAAAAATTCCTGAAAATTCCCAGAAATTCCTAGGAATTTTTTAGATTTACAGCTTTTCAGGGAAAGTCATCGGTTCTCTGAGTTGGAATTCCTAGAACTTGGAATTTTCCTGGAACTTGGAATTTCTGGGAATTTCTAGGAATTTCTAGGAATTTCTAGGTTTTTAGAACCAGAGTTGTCATGGTTGGGAATTCCCAGTCCGAATTTACCATGAAAATTCACACCTTTATTCCTAGGAATTCCAAAATCCATTTCGCAAGGGTAAACCAGGAAGTGAGTTACTGCCTGCAAACTATACCGTCCTTTTCAGCAAGCACCATGAGAATTTTGGTAAAACAAAAGCTGCTAAAAAATAATACACAATTTATGGGTCTCGATAGAAACCTTTGTTTTTGGTAAATATTAAAAAGAGAGTTGTTATTTTTGATTGATAACGCTCTGTATTTCTCACCAGAGTTAGCATTGAGAGTATCTTATTTGTAATTGTTTCTAAGCTACTCTCCATGGCTCTTCAATATGTACTGATTGTTATGACTGATTCAATTAAAAAATAAATATTTTGTACAGCACTCCTTTCATTTATATTCTATTTTGGTAGTCAAAATTATCAATAATAATTCAGTTCAATCAGGCTGATTCACCATATGTTTGGTACGAAATGCCCCCGTGAGCTTACTGCTTTTGATTGTCAATGGCTTATAGTTAAATGATGCAGACAATAGTTACAAGTTGGTTATTACAGAATGATTCTTCACATGATCAAGCATCACTGTGAGTAACAATCCTGTCTCATCAAGAGGGGCAGTGGAAAACAGGGAACTTAAACATGTTTTCCTCAAGTTACATGGGATTTGATTTTCTTAGAGAGACAAGTTCCATGAAGGAGGACTTGAATTGTAGATCATCTCAATTAACCTGTTGGTCAAAATTGGTCCAATGCATAGGAAAAAAGGAGTTGAATTGACTGTTTTTTACCCTTAACCAGCTAGACTTTGTGTTTGGGGGTTCAGCTTCAAGCTCTCGGGCAGCGTTGGCTTTTGTTCAAACCCTAATGCTCTCCCCACTCAGGAGTATAAAAGGGTGACAGCAACCCTGATGGACTAGCATCCCATCCAGTAACATGGTACAGAAGCCAGGAGAAGCTCCAGGAGAATGGACCACTAAGCTTGAGAGTAGACTTTACCTATCACAATATCTGGATATCAAAACACACATTCTCCTTTTCATTCAGATGCTTTTATTGTATCACTAAAGGAGAGTTGGGGCATTAAGTCCTTTAAATGTTCATGGCCTTCCTTATTTGTTGAGTAGTGCTTCACTTACGAAAAGTTAACTTAAACGAAAAAAAAGTTACAAAACTTAATATTCTTTTTTTTTTTTTATCAAATTTGTGCAAACAGTTATGAATTTTTTTTACCTCTTAAGCTGTAAAAAGACATTTTAAATTGAATCGTTATCTAAACAAACTACCATTATTTTCATCGGTCAAAAAAACTATTTTTTTCCATCAGCTCCAAAGTAATCCAAGCTGTCATCATCCGACATTCCAGTCCTGATGGCTATTAACTCAACTTTTGATCCATACTGTGGTAAACTTTGCTCTATGCGCAAATGAACATAGGAAGAGTCACCCACATACACCTGAGAAATAAAACAGAGGTTATCCTCACAAGATGATACAAGGTTATTATTGATTATATTAATTAATATTAATTAATGATTAATTAATTATTAATTATAATTAATAATGTAATAATAATCAATTAATTAATTAATATTAATATTGATTATTATTGATTAATTTAAATTATCAATAAGGTAGAAAAGTTTCAAATCCTGGCTGGGCTTAGCCTGCATGACAGCAGTTGTCTCTGGTTTAATCATTGATAAAGATCTGAGCTTTGAAGCATACATGGTTGATTTATGGAAGAAACTGTCAAAACGACTTGGAATTTTGAGGCATATTAGTCCTTATCTCAAGCAAAGGCACAGGTTTTATTTTTTGTCTGGCTGTTATAGAGCCAGTCATGTTGTACCTCAGTCCAATTTGGTCATCTTGCAGTAAGAAATTGCTAGAAAGAGTCTTACAGATGCAGAAGAGAGTTGCACGCATCATATTGAACGCTGAAAGAACAACGCGCACACTAACTATGTTTAATGAAATTAACTGGATTCCATTTTTATTGAGAGATATATAAGTAGATGTTCTACAGCCTTGAAGAGACTTATATCGCTTGGCCATCTCTATGACATTTAGTGACGAACAACAATCTCAAGAGGAGGGGAGACTGTTATCTTGACCATTCAAAGCTGTTCTGTAACAGTATTTACCGCATGAGACCTCTACAAATACCAAATACAAACCTTCACAAAGTAATTTGTACCAGCTACAAGTTGAGTTCTATAAGAAATGGCTTTAAATTCCTTGAATTTTGTACCAGCCATTGTCTCAGCCTGGCTCTTAACCTAAAAAAATAGATATCAGAGATTTTTATAATATATTCATTAATTTTTAAACAAATTTATGTTCCTCCATACCAGCACATGTATAGCAAAGTGCATAGTTTGTGTATTAAGGTTGGTAAGGACAAAATAGCACAAAATTTGACCATTTTTAATTAAAATTCAGACCTAAAATAACTCTGACCGCATTGCCTCTAAGGAAAAACCTGATGGGGGTTCAGATTTTGGTTGTGCAGTCGGGCATTTGTTTGATTTCTTTTTAGTTTTTGCAAGGGAAATCATTGGTTGGCTGCAATTTTTCCTTTTTAGATTGGTGTGCACAAACTGGGTTAAGATTTTTCCCGTGTGGTTTCTGGTTTAAGTTCCCAGAGTATGCTCCTTAACTGTGTTCATGTGATCTGCAGCGAAGGACTTTTCAAATAATCTCCTAACATATAAATTCTGAGACAAACCAGATAATTTTCTGCATAGCGTGTTACTTGTTTTTGATAAAGCCAGGGACTTTGACCATCTACTGTGCAGTACCAAGGTCAGACTTCAAGTAAGTCTCAACGTACTTGCCATAGAAGAGGGTCCACAGGAAATTTTAGTCCGAATTTTTTTCTTTTTCTTTTTTAATGAAGAGGGGAAGGGGGCAGAGAATTTTAGAAGGAAGAACAAGTTAGGATGCTGTGATGGAAAAGTTGACAGACCTATCAAATCTAGAGTTAAGATTAACTTTCAACTGTTGCATATAATTTTATTAAACTTCTTTTATAGAGATTTCTGCTACACTTCTATAATTTTTCCAAATCCTAACTTTTGGGCATGCTTCAGTGGCACATTTGTATATGAAGCGAATAATGTTGAGCCATGCTTTGTATTTTGGCGAGACACAGTCAAGCCAAATTACTAGTCAGTGGCAGATCTAGGGGAGGGGTCCAGGGGGCCTGCCTCCCCCTCTTATTTTGGCTAAAAAATAAACACAGAGGAAAGAAAAGCCTGCAGGTGTAAATACCCACAAAAAACTGCCCCCTTCCCCCCCTCCCCACCCCCTTAGCTCAAGGTCTGGACCTGTCATTGCTAATAGCGAGAGGAAACGAGAAATGTGTGATTAAATATAGTTACAAACTTCCGTCTATACTCCTTGCTAGTGTATGCAAAGGCGGCCCAAGCGTACTGTGTGCGATTTTGGGGTCTAAAGGTCATTAACGGGAATACCTAACATATTAAGATCTAATTTTAAGCGTAAGCGTGAGCCGTTCAAAAAAAGGAAAAATCCCAAAAAAATTCGAAAGGATAATAAAAGCGAGGAATATAACGTGTGAAGTCTCCCTATCTTTTTTTCGTAGGTGTTCTGTCGCTTACAGTCCTTTTAACGCTGTTTTGGCGACTTTCTTTGGAACGCGTATTGTGCTACTATTCAACTGGATAAACTCTGAAATCCTGGCTGAGCTTGGCCTTACGCTCAAAATTCGATCTTAATTTGTTATGGAATTTCCGTTAATAACCTTTAGAACCCAAAATCACACACATTACTCTTGGGCCTCCTGTGGTCTATGTCCCGCGCTTGCTCATAGTTACGAGTTCTAAACGAACCTCGTCGACAATCTTTTGTACTTCTTTAGTAGCCTTCATTTCCTCACTAAGTCCACCAGTCCTATCCATTTTGTACCCAGAGCAATCTCGAGAAACCCAGGTGATCTTTAAAACACGAAAAAGTTTTGCTGAAACAGAAATGTTGCAACAAATATGCGTTATTAACCAAGCGTGAGGTCAAGATGGCTGGATATTGGCTGAGTCCTTTTTTGGCATTTTTATGGACCGATACGATGTCGAAGTCCATAAAAATGCAAAAAATGAATGAGGTTAATATATCTAATATCCAGCCATCTTGACCAAACAAGCTTGGTTAATAAAGGATTTATTATATTGCAAAAAGATTTCGCTTTATTAACAATTTTAATTGTTAAAAGAAATTGTTAAAAGAATGACTTGTTTACTTCGAGAGCCTGGAAAGGAAGTCACCTGTGTTTGTTGCACAACAAACTCACGAGAGTCGTTTCTGTTTTCTTTGTTTTAACTATCTTCTGCCGCTTTTTGCGTTTCCAATGCCGAAATTGTCCAAGAATTACGAACGTAGTTCCAATTCTATTTTTTTCATGCGCGAATCAATGCGGGCAATCCTGCAATCTTCTTCAGGGAGTTTTACAAGTTACGACAAAACGCCTACATTTATGAGCCATTGTGAGCGGCTATTGCGGGGGCCAATGACCATATGGGCTTGGCTGGACCTACGAGCAGCAATAGGTAAAGTTGTGAAAATTTTGAAAATTTCTTTTGAAAATTTTTTAGGCAAGGTGAGAAATATTTTGGGGAGCCACGGTTTTAGCTAAAAATTTTCAAATTTGAAAAATTGAAGCAGTTTTTTACAGATAATTCCTGGAAAGCAGTTAGCAAATTAAGTTAGGATGGCTCGTGTACTTTACAGAAAATGTGGTTTATGTTCTACTCATTCTTTCTTAAATTTAAGTGGTATAAATACCTTGTCTAAAACAGTAGTGTGATACAATAGTAAACGAGATTTACTCGTTCCAATACAGCGTCATGTGATGAACAGCCTTCATTAATTTTAGAACAAGTTTTTTAAAATCATTGTACTCTTTCTTGTTCCATCACTGAAAACAGTCAAGGTACTTCGACACGATTCAGTGCGAGAGCTACTGCCACTGGTTTGACTGGTAAGACGTTTTTTTTGGTTTGTTTTGTTTTTTTCCCTTTTTAGGTCTAGTGGAGTTGTTAGAAATTACCAAGCAAAATCAATCCGCGACTTTCTTCCTTTATATGCTGTGTAAAAACAGATGAAGAGCCCGATGAATGGATTTGTCCTTCATGTGAACAATAACCTAAAAAATCAGTTTTCCACGAAAAAAACTCCCCCGATTGCGGCCAAGCCATATTTCTCTACCAGAGCATACTGTAAATTAAAAACATCGGTCGCAGCGTCACGCAACATTGCGTGATTTTCCAAACGTGACATGCAGTTGCTGCATTATTTTAAAACCTAGAACCTACATAGCCCTGTAGTGATAAAAGAGGGCTTCATTTGCAAGCACTGTAGACTTCAACATAAGAAGAACTTAATAAATCGCTCTTTCAGTTTTCATCTCGGTGTATAAATTACTTAGCCAGAACGAAAAAAAATTAATATACGCATGAGTTGGAGCCATTCTTGTCTGAGGTTAAATACACGAATGGCTCCAGTCTCTGGTCGTCCGCCTAAACTGACTAAATGAGTTTTGTCAGCGGAGCTTGTCAGCGAATGACTTTTTCATCGCCGGAATATCGCTGAACGACCTCGCTGAACAAGATAGACTCTGCCTTCTCTTCGTTGTGTAAGTAGCCATTTCTTGTTTGATTCATCGGTGTTTTCACATTGATATTTCATCGTTCCGCTTCGAGACACGCGGTTAACAATACCCATGAGCAAGGAGTTAAGATCTAACTTATTAACTTCTACTATTTTTATCATCCAATCTTAGGTCGGAGCCATTCCTGTATTTAGTCGCTAGTCATCCTTCGAAAGTCCGCCATGTTGTTTGTAGCATCTTACGCATGTGCAGTACTTGACCCCTGTGTTTCCGTCAGGTGACAATCGACTGATTCGTATATGAATTTGGTTAAAATTGAAAACAATATGGTAGACGTTACAGAAACTAAGTTACGATGGAAGAAGTCTGAAAAATATCGCCGGAAACGACGTAAACAATCACGGACGAAAGGAGATCAAGAAATTAAAGAGGATCGTTACAGAAATGTGAGTCATTGTTACGATGGTTGGTTCATGGAGATTTAACGATTAAGTGCCGCTCTCGCCAAGAGCGGTCCTCTCGATTTCCCTTCGAAAAAATGTTTGCGCTAATTTTCTGCCCATGAAAAGGGTTTAGGACTCATGTTTCAAAAACAGTTTAGTTGTTTTCCGATTCTCAATAATATTCTTGGCTAGACCGCCCGTGTGGACAGCGATCGAAGGTGTAAATTTCAGATTTTGTAGAGCACGCTGCGACTGCAGTCTGCAGTGATAAGCTCACGGAAATCTCTCTCGCTACAAGCAATACTACAAGTTGTATTCAGTCAGTTCACAGACAAAGTGTGGAAACTTCACCAAAAATGTTTTTCATACCAGCGTGATGAGAGGAGACCCTTCCCTAATCGACCTTGGTTTGCACATCAAAAATTCACTAATTTGTAAGAAGGTATTTTTCAAAATGCAGGCGTAAATCGGGCTAAAGAAGCACATCAGTGCATAGTTTACACACCAATGAGGTTACCAGAAGCCTCAAACCTGCAGGTATCTTTCTAGCTTTTATCCACTAACATCTCGAAAACGACGCAAAGCAATAGAACTCATTATGTTAGCAAAGTTGAGCTTGTGTCAAAGCTTGCGTTTGCTTAATTCTGAAAATTGACTAAGATATCGTTTTGACCGTTCAAACCTAGTTCATTTATCTCCTACGCTAAGGATTTTAGGTTTTCATAACAATTGGATAGCAGATGGGTAAACTTACCTTTCTCAGGAGTTACCGCTAGATGATGTACTTGATGCCTAACCACGTCAGAAATGTCGGAACACTGCCTTTATTTAAAAAGAATCTAAAAATATATTTGTTTTCTATATTTATCGACAGTTATTGTGTTCGTTTTTAAATCAATTTTAATTAATTTCTTATACTTATTGTAAAGCGCCATGAGAGTTTTTTTATATACGAGCGCTATATAAATACTAGTTATTATCATTATTATTATTATTATTATTATGACTTGGAGAATGAATTACTACTACGCATCTTCCAAGATCTGTATTTATCTACCTAGAAAATATCGTTTGACACTCTTGAACGACAAAGTAAACAAGTTTGTTTTCGTCACGTTTCTAGAGGCCTTGTTTGCAAAGGCACTCACTGTAATTAAAGCTCCTTTGAGGGAATGAATGGCAATCAGCCAGGGGGCATTAGGGTCTATTAGAAACCACAAAACCGTGAAAAAAACATCCAAAACCTCAAAACTGCAAATGTTTTTGATCAAAATGGAAAACTGTATGCAAAACCATCAAGACCCATAAAATTTTCACATCCCAGGTATCAAATCTCCAATCGAATCAATATACCAAACTGATATACCAGACATTCCACAAATGAACACCCAAACTGAAATCCAAAGTTTTTTGGCCTATAAAACGGAAAAAGCAGTCAAAACAATGGCCAAAATCTCAAAACAGGAAATGATAATGCCCCCTCCTCAAGAGCATTCGGTGGCAGACGTCACGGAGCAACCACAAAGGTATGCCCAAAGGGGATATTGCTTTTTGGGGGGCATGATTTAGAATGTTACTCAATGGCACTCCACATGATTGCAGTTGCTTTATGTGTTAGAGACACCAGTCTAGGCCGTGATGGTCAAGATCTGTAATTATGTACCTAAAAAAAGATCATTTGGCATGCTTGAACGACCAAGTTGACAACTTTGTTTTCGACGTGTTTCTAGAGGGCCTCATTTGCAACTAAGAAGAACTAAGAATCCCTTTGGATGAAGGCTTATGTTCTAAGTGATATCTTGGCATTGTTTGAGTGGTAAAAGTTTGGGGATTTGAGTTTTCAAGGGTTGAGTATCTTTGAATGGATGACTTGTTTCTCCTTACATATTACCTCAAAAGACTAACAATTACACCTAGTGTTTCCCTTTCTTTTCTGTTGTAACCGTCAGTTTTGATGGGCACACGATAGAGCTCATATCTCTGTATTTTACAGTATTTTTGGTTAGGATAGAGAACCAACACCAACTATTCATCAGCTGAACTGCACGAATACATGTTTCAAGTGGATCCACACTGCTACAATCTCACAATGCTTTGAAATGCTTTGAAGGAAGGAGATCAGAAACTACAGCAAAGTCCAAAATTGTTAGGAAAACCTAAAATCCTCAATGTTGGAGATAAGCAAACGAAGTTTGAACTGTTAAAAGGATGTCCTGGTCAATTTTTAGAATTATGCAAACGTAACCTTTAATTGACACAAGCAAAGTTGAGTAAACACATTCATTTGTGATGTTTTCAAGATGTTGGTAGATGAAAGCGAGAGGGACACCCACGGGTTCGAGGTAATCAGTCATTGGTGTATGATGTATGCGCCAATATACTTTTTTAGCCCGATTAATGCATGTATTTCAAGAATTCTTTCTTACAAAGTGGTGAATTTTTAATATGCAATCAAACCAAGGTCAAAGAGAAGGGTCTCCTCTGATCACACTGGTATAAAAAAAGGTTCAGGTAAAGTTTCCATATTTTGTCTGTGAACTGACTGAATACAAAATTCTTGTAACTTGTAGCGAGAGCAAATACCGCAAGCTTCAGGTGTATATCATTGCATTCAGGCATGCTTGACAAATCTGTGAAATTTACACCTTCGATCGCTGTCCACACAGGTGGTCTAGCCAGAAGTAAATTTTGGCCTGTGGCAACCCAAAAAAAGAGAATGGGAGAACAGCCAAACTATTTTTGAAATGTGTCCTAAACCCTTTTCATGGGCAAAAAATAAAAGAAGACTTTTTTGGATGGGAAGTTTATTTTAAGTTTACTATTGTCTGTTACAGGTATTATTTTATTGTTTACCCAGATTGGATACCCATCTAGCAAAAGGCCTGTTACTTGAAGTATACAAGCCATTCCTGTGCAATTTTCATTCTATTCTTTGTGGGCATTCTACTTTTTTTCTAATTAATTTGGATGAGTCCTGTACCATGTGAGTTGAGCATACTCTATGTATGCAATAGTGATGGGCGAAGCTGGACAGTTGGTCAGTATATTGCAGTTTTTCCTGTCATTAACCCTTTAACTACCATGAGTGACCAAGACAGAGTTTCTCCGTGCAATAACAATAGAATATCAAGCAGACAAGTGAGGAGATTTAAAAAAAAGAACATGAAACCAAATAGGAGATTTTTAATTGACTTTAATACCAAATTCTCCAGCTAACATCATAAGAATTGTATGGCAAACAGTAGGGAGAATTACTGATGAAATCAGTTTGTATGACTTTTTCTCTTCATTTACAGCTTAGGTTAATGCAAACTGAACTTAGTGTGGAAGAGGTTTTTACAAAACTGGACTCTTAAGGTAGGTTGATATTGTGATATCCTTTGTGTCTCATGCTTGCTCCTAAATTTTGAGCCTTTATGCACAGAGGCAAGTAGTGATGATAGTAGAAAATATTTAGATAATGAAGGTGAAGGTGTGACATGCAAGCAAAGTTTCATTGCTATAATAACTATAAAGACATGTGGTTTCTTATAAGTCTGTTAGTAATATGAAAAGTTTTTACTATCGACGCCTTACCCTAAACCATGGTACTTTTAATGATTGATACATTGATAAAATTTCTGAACTGTTTTCCTATCTCTGACTTTTAGTTTGTGAGCCATAAATATCTACTCTTTCTTTACATTATAGGCTTTCAATGGACGATGCTGGAAGTATTTCAAACCACAATGACATCTGCAGCATCCAGTTAGGATTAATTCAAGTCATTTTAAATTAAATCTTATCCCATGTATGTATTGATTCGATTGGTGTTTCTGATACTCGGCAGATGTCAAGCAAAGATAAATCAATAGTTTGCCGTCAATATATGCACATGCATCTGTGTATACAGCGACTTCTGGGAAAATTTCCAATTGTCTGAAAACTTTTTTTTAACGCTAAATTGACTTAAATCCCAAGGGCGTGAGTAATATACAGACCGGTCTCAACAATCAGAACATCACAGTGGTGAGACATAGCACCAAAACTTGCAGACTGATGAATATTTTATAGGGAAGGCTACATTCTCTTTTCCAGCGATAAAAATCTCCTCAGGCTCAGTGAGATTTGTCCAATAATCCCCAGGCTTTGTGCAGGAATTCTACAATGTACCGGCTAAAATTATTGACTTCTCCCGAGGGTAACCTTCCGACACCTACCCCCATCCCAACATTATTTTACGCGAATAAAGGGTGCAATTCCGGCGATCTAACTTAAAAATGCGGTATATCTGTTCAGGGTAAATTAGGACAAATCCACCCAAAAGTGCAATAAATCCTACAATAATTTAGAAACAGTACTAAAAAAAAACAGCTAAAATCAGCGGAACCGCAATAAAATCACAATCTACTACTTCAATTTTTTTAACGGAGGGCTCAGCGCGATACGGCAAAAACCCACAGTACTCAAAATAAACAACTGAAGGGCAAACTTCTGGGATTCAAGGAAGACTTCGTGACGCAGACAAATAATCACAACTTGGACTTCTCAGTCGATCTCACCTCCGGCAGATCAGGTGAAGTGGCAAAAATATATAATTTTATGTCGACGAACCATAGTCTATGATCTTCAGCTATTATAGAAAATAAAGAAATTGTGATATGACGCCACATTGTGGTTTTGTCTTAGCTTGTGTCTAAAATGTTGTCATTAAAGTCGCAAGTCGAGCAATGAAGACTGTGAATAAATCAAGGCTGCAAATAAAACGTGAACAATAACGCATCCTTTGGTCGAAAGTCGCTTTGTTATTCACGCGCAGCAAACTGTTCTTCCACGTTTAGGTTATAACAACGATGCGATCACTCTGCGTTAACGAAGGAACGATAGAACTTCAAGGAAAGCAATATGAGAGGCCAATGATCCGGTTCGCAGTGATCATGCGAACACCATATTTTCCTCAGATCAGTTACCGGAAAATACTGGTCAAATTTTCCACTTACCCGACCCCCTTGAATGAGTACTTTTGCTTGAGGACATTACTACAACGGAGTCTCTTAATCAGTCCCAAGCCGCGTGTCGCTCGATAGATCGCAGGATATGATTGGCCACTGTATCACATTACGTCAGAGGACATATCTGCAATTAGAGGACATAAGTGCAACGGTACAAATATGAAACCGACAGAATACGAGGCAAACCGTGCTCGATAGAATACGAGGCAAACCGAGCTCGATAAAAAAAAACTGAGCTCGATAAGAGCAGATTGAGTTCGTCGAGCTCGGGTAGGCTTTCGAGCTCGAGTCACCTATTCACCGAGTCACCGACAAATCGGATCAATATTTGTTTCTGGGCAACCGAGCTCGAAATAATCGATATCGAGCTCGGTTGCCCAGAAACAAGATCCGAGATGTGCTTATGGCACCTGCAAAAACGCACTTATTTAAGTGGGCTTAAGTAAGTTTATTTACGATTAGTATTGTACAGCATTTAGGAGTCGCTCCTAATTAAGAACACTACCCGCTGTTTAATAAAATAGTTGAGTTTGTGGGATTTAGTGTTTTTCTGTCGGTTAGATTATACCGTAACACGTAAACAACAGAGTCAGACAGATTTTGTTATTGTCTGCCTTTAGTGAACAACCTGGTGTAATAATTTTGCATGTAACATCTATTGAACATCCTCAACTTCAATTGATAAATTATTTTCCAAAAAAATTGAAGTAAACAATGGAGAGTCAGGCAAATGTTGTTATTGTCTACCTTGACCCTTTAACTCCCAGGAGTGATTAACCTGCAATTTCTCCCTATAACATCTGCAGTAAGTATTTTACTTTAATTTATTCCAGCAATCCGTATATGGAAATGACCACGTGATTTATCATTTTGCGTAATTTATGTAACCCGATTCGCGGGAAAAGTAATGGTGTAAGTCATGTAAAAATCAAAATGGCCGAATTAACATGTGTTGCGTTCGCTTAATGGCGCCCAACGTGGGGCGGAATCGCGATGACAAACAAAAGATCGAGATCAAATACGTTCAGCACAGCAATGTCAGCAAAGCAAACATGTCAACTCAATAACACGTGGAATCATATCGAGCGACGGCACAGCCGGTGAGTCAAAATGTTGTTCGTACTAGATTACCGAAGTTATCCCTCCCGAAGTTTAGAGGAGATGTTACCAAATGGAACACGTTCTGGGACTCATTTGAGGTAGCGGTACATCGTAACGAAGGGACTTCTAACATTGATAAGTTTAATTATCTCAATTATGTTCTTGAAGGAGTGGCAGCTCGAGCAATCCCGGGTCTTACATTAACCGAGGCAAACTACGATGCCGCAGTTAAATTATTGCAAGAACGATGTGACCTTCCCCAGTAAATTACCAGTGCACATATGGATCAGCTTCTTAAGGTGTCACCATGTTCTGATGATCGCCCTTCAAGCCTTAGATACGAGCACGATCAAATATCGTTAGAAGCTATGTACTAACACCCGTTGTTTTGTTGTTTCTTTCTTGATTCACTCTTACTACTCAAGTTATTACAACGGGGACTAGCTCTGATCTGTTTAGGAAAGTGTGGGTCACCGCTTATTAAGGTGACACTTACTGAGCTGTCACTATCTAACCTTTGTCATGCTTTTACAGTTAACTAGCCAATCATGCTAAACTACGCAGAGCGGAGTTCGCATACCAAGTAGATACCTTCGCCATGTTTACGCTTTACAAAATGACTTTTCACCTTAAATTTCTTAGTCTTACAGTCGAGGTCGAGCGAAACAAAAACAAGATTGACCAATAAAAAAATAATAATAAACTTACTAACAGAATTAAAATCATACTTGAAGAGATATCTTAAGAGAAAATAGTCCTTGAAGACTGCTACATATCGGCAGAATAAACAGAAAATTCGGAGAAGAATGGTCGTACCCAAGGTACCGCCCCTGAAAGAGCTACGTGCTAGCCGTATAGGTTATCTGAATACAAATTCGATGCGGAAGATGAAAAGTACTTCATGTGTACACCCTAAGTCACCTCTAATAAAAAGAGGTGTCGAACGTGCTAAATTCAAATGAAAAACTACTTTCCGAATTGGGAATTCGACATGGATTTAGCCTAAAAACGAGAGTATTAAGTGGGTAAAAGTATAAAGGAGGGTTGTTTCCAGGAAATTCCTGCACGGATCAATTTTTATGAGGTAGACTCATTTTCTTAGTAATTAATCATCTTTTAGCAACATAATGGAAATATATTGATATCTAGCCACAAACCGCAGTTTACGCAAAAACATCTGTCTCCATGTCAAATTCACGATCATAATAAGGAAAAAGGTGACCAAACTCTACCTGTAAGGTAAGACCGCCAAAAGGAATAAGAAATGATCAACTGGCTAATTACAATGTTTATTGAATAGCTTATGCTGACATATTATTTCCATTTATTTCACACGTTCAAATAAGTAAAAAATCACCCATAATGAAAATTCTTGCTAGATGCCAATTTTGTCTTTTAACAGTATGTGTCCATTCCCGAGGCATGGCATCACTCGGCGTAACATCAGATCAATACGGTAGTCTATTAATTTCAATCATTATGTTTAAATTGCTGTCCGAGATTAGATTGCAGATAGCTAGGAACTCTAAGGATTCAGTATGGAAAATGGATGAGTTGTTAAACGTGATAAAGATGGCGAGGTGACGAAAACAAGCGGGGACCGAAAATCACCCCAAGCATCGGGACATGCTAAATTTCGTAATCAACCCCCACTTCTCCGTTCTCTGGTCTCACAGCAAGATGAGAGCTGCAAAAGCAAATGTGTCTTTTGTGGAAACGTGCATTATTCTGCCTCATGCGATGTTGTTAAGGATACCGCTAAACGAAGAAACATTTGGAACGAGATAAACGATGTTTTAATTGCTTGCGATTTGGTCACGATGTGAAGGAATGCTAAAATCGAAACACATGCCGTCAAGGCAGTCAGCGGCATCATCAGTCGATTTGTTCGTTGCGTGACCAAAAAAGCGCGAAACCGAAGGAAATTTCTCCCGAAGAAACGAAGACAACAACGACAACCGTGCGCAACAAAGCAAAGGGAATTGTTCTCTTACAAACGACGAAGGCTATAGCTGTTAACGATGTTATTTCCGAAACTGCGTCTGTCAGAATTCATCTGGATACCGGAAGTCAACGTACTTACATAACAAACCGATGAAAATCAAAGCTTAATATGTCACCTGTCAAGTCGGAAACATTACATCTCAACACCTTTGAATATGAAAGGTACACAAAACAACAATGCGATGTAGTAAACCTACACTTACAAGGATCTCTAGGAGAAATCGAAATATCAGCGCCGTGTTTTCCGAAGATTTGTTTAGCGGTGTCTGCTAAGGTTAATGTCCATATTTACGCACATTTGCAAGGTCTCGAACCTGCTGACGCAAGTATCGTTGAAGGGGATCAACAGAACATTGATGTCTTAATCGGATCGGATCATTACTTTGATGTTGTGTCGGGAGATGTTATTCGTGGCGAAAGCGGTCCCGTAGCGGTTAGCAGTATGTTTGGGTGGATCTTGTCTGGTCACACGAGTGTTGAAGATTCCAGGGAGAAGTTTGCAACTACAAATCTCATCATTGATGTCCGTGAGCCGATTTGACATTCACAGTGAGATGGTGGCGAGTTCCTGAAGAACATACATTTCGACGAGAAGGAAGGAAGATACGAGGTATTTCTGCCGTGGAAGGAAGGTCATTTCCCCGCTTCAAACGAGTATAACGTGTGTAACAAGGTTAAGAAAGCTGCACTGACGATT